AGCTCTGATATAAGTCTGTGGATTCTACGAGTGCGGAAGAGACCAAATCTACATAATTACGCGAAAGAGTTTTGGGGCTGTCTACATGTAACGTCGAGTCGGAGAGAGACATACAGAGTCAATAACCTGGTCAACGAAGCGCTTCGGCTCGGATCGGATCGGTTCGGTTCGAGCTTCCTTGACGATGATGACGCCATGCTGGAAGGTGCCTGTGACCTTTCCACCAATGTTTAAAAGGGAAGAATTATTTAATTATTGGGCATAATAATTAAAAACTAGAATGACAAAGTGCTCATCAATGCGTAAATACAGCATTTGTCGTCATCCGAACCGAACCGAACCGAACCCAACCGAACCGAACCAATCCGAGCCGAGTTGGCCAAAAACACACAAAAAACAAACATACATTTTGTATTTTCAATTGACGACTTCGATGGCTTGAGAAAGAATTTTGATTTTTAATTGGAGACAAGACTGAGTGAATACTTGTAATAAAATATACGAGTGTATGTGTACATATTTACATACATATGTATGTTCATATGTATGTATGTTCATATGTACATATGTATGTAGAATGTCTTAGCCACTTTCTTCGGTGTATTTGGATTTGGGGCAGCTTCTTCAACGAGAAACACGGGCAATCGAAAGCTTCCGTTATGCTTTGACACTGCGAATTTATTTGGCTAATGACTTGAAATTTCTCTCTCTCCCTCGCCCACACGCCCACACGCAGCGCAGTCTACACTCACTAGTGTCAGATTTGCACACAGTTATTTTCTGGGATTGCTTCGCTTTGCATTGGATATCGAATGGATTTTTTGCAACCCGCTTTCAATTCTAATTTTTATTTTCGTCTCGATTCGTTTGGTCTGCTTTCGCTGCGACTCGAACTCTCCGCCGATCCGCACTCGCTAAACAATTGAAACTGAATAAAAATTCTGATTTAGTTGTGTTTGAAACTCATCGACAGAGCAGACACCAAAGCGGCAGCAACGCTGACTGCGCTTGCTGCGCCGAGGCAGAGCCATAGGTATAGGAGCGGCGCTCACAAAGCTTTTGTTGTGTGGAGCATTTAGATTCGAGCTCGTGCTGGCAGTGGAGTTTGGCTCCGCAGATCGTCATCATCATTATCATTATCATCATTAGCATTGCCCATGCTGCGCCCACTTGAGAGATTCCCCCTTCGCTAGGGAGTCGGTCTTCCCTCTTCTTTCCGCCTAATAGCTGGCAATGACTCTCGAAAAACGCTTCGAAATGAAGTTGTAACAAGAGGATCGAAACTGAAAGATAAGCGAAGCTCTAACGTTCTTGTCTTTCGTAAACGCAGAGCACAATATTGTTTCATGACATGCACAGCCTGGAAGAGGGGAAAGAAAGCGATGCCCACACACAAGAGTCTCTCTTCCTATTCTATTTTTATTCCTATCGAGTTTCGAGTTCTTCCTTTACTTCGTCGCATAATATAACTCCTATTGAATGTACCTGGTAATATACATATGTACATAGTGAGCGCACAATTAGAGGTGGAGTTCTTGGTTGCAAGCCGGGAGTTTTTAGGGCAATCCACTCGACGTAGAAGCGCACCCGAAACCGAGATTCTTTCTTTTCCGCTTTGTTAGCCCCACTAAGCGATGTGAAATTTAAATGTAACTGGCCGGACATGCAGTTGGTTGGGGCTTCGTCAGTCGATGCCGAGCAGATGCTTACTGCTCAACCGTTAATTCGTGCGGGTTTTCACCGAAATAGCTTCAAAGGGAACGAACGGGTTGGGGCGGTGTGTAATTGGCGACACCTTTAAGTGTCGACCTTGTCATGCTCGCTGGCGTCGTCTAATTCAGGCCGGGGTTGTTCTTCATCAGCGCGTCGACATCACATCACACCACATCACAGACATTGCCACCGTCTTTGTCAGCGTCTGTGCGCTAGCGTCGCTGTTCGCATAATCGACATCGCCGCTAACGTAGGAGCATAGGAGACTCGGAAGGAGACTCGATTCGGTGGAAAAGCTTAACAAATGAGCTCATGCTCATTCGGGTTCGCAATTCGTTAATTCGCATATCGGGAATTCTTTAGAATTCCGAAGGCGAGGAGCAACAGCTGCCGCTAGTGAGCTGTGTGGCCACTCCCGAAATTTAGGCCCTTTCTCGAGATTGCAAAACAGATGCAGGTAGGCCATTGGCTGACTAGGCAAATGTTGCAAAATAATTGATTTGTGTGAATTTTTCGTGGATGGCGCTGCTCCAAATGCGAGTATCACACGAATGCAGCAGGTAAATCGAGGTTTGTTTGACAACCGAATCCAAAATCAGCAAAATCGCATCAAAATTCATTCAAAATTCATGGGGCGATCGGAGCTTTTGACAAACGCATTCCGCCTTCCAAGTGGGCAGCCATTTGGGACCGGCGCACAGTGGGTCATTTGGATATTGCATCTAGCTAACGTAAAGACTACTAAACGAATAAAGGAATTTTCTTAAAAAAAACAATTGTTGAAGTTCGTTGAAAAATCGTCCAACAAGAAGTCTTCATAATTCAATGGTTCTATGATATCTAGAAGCCTTGCAACATATTGCTAAGGATCAGCTTTGGAGCCCGCTTTTCACCGCTTTTCTGTTGATGTCCCACTGTGGGCCCGGCATTTCAGCGTGTAAATTCAATACGCAGCGCGTGTCTAAAAACATACATATATTGGAGGCAGATACCACTACAAGTGGTTTGATCGTGGGTGGATGGCTGATCCCCAGGAACCGTCAAGTAGGTGGCCGACTGGGGCTAATTCATGTCATGTAATACTTATCGATTGGGTAAACGGTTTTTGCCAGAGCTCATACATTTTGCCAATACGCGTTTGACAGTTGTGGGCCAGCAGGAAGCCTTTGCTGAGCGACATTCGTCAAAAAATGTATAGGGTGTGCGGGAGTTCTCCTGCAAATTCGTTGGCTTCTGCAAGCTAATCTCCTATCATGTAAGCCTCGACTGTACATCCATCATACATACACTTGTATGTATTAATGTACACATGTACATACATAAGTATTAAAATTAGATAATAATCCGGTTTTCGTTTACTATGAACGAATCAATTAAGCCGATTGACCGCACACCATGAATCAACCTGTGCAATAAAACAGCACTACTTAGTCAGCTAATGCTGATTTGCCTTGGGGTAATTTCTCTCACGCATAGAAGAAAGAAGTTCCGATTGAATAGTTTACGAATCTGGAAGTGCTTTTCGGATTTGAATAATTGGTATGTACATACATACATACATACAAATGTACATACATAGTCAAACTTTTTGAAGCTCTGAGTTCCCCTGAAACTGGCCTCTCTTCTCGTTTTATATCTTGGGGCCAGCTTTTGTGATGTAGGATCATATGTATGTATGGACAGAAAATAGACAGCAACACTTGCTGCCACAGCTGTTTGACCACCAAGCCACAGCCCCACAATGACCGAGTCCCAGTCCCAGTTCAACATCGAGTTCGCAGCATTGGGTGTTCCACATTCGCAGTGCAACTCAAAAACTCGCTCAGCAGGAAGTATTTGCATTCGCCACTCCAGGAGTCACTTGAGTCCACAGAAAGCGAAAGTAATCATCCAGAGCAGTGCGATTCGCCGCCGCAAGAGCCGCTGCGGCGGCTTATTGTCTCGCTATAGGCACGCACGGGCCAGGGGTGGTGGGTTCCACAGCGTATTTATCACAACAAATATCCATTATGCAATTGGCCATGTCCAAAACGAGTAATTTGCGGCAAATGCAGCAATATCCGAGGGTGGGCTGGGGCAGGATGGGGATGGTTGCCCGTTGCGCCCTCAGACGTAAAAAGACACACTAGCCTACATATGTACATATGTACATGCATCTGCATATATATGTACATATGCATGTGCATACATACGTACATATGTGCAGACATACCTAAATACAGGAACAGAATGGGAACTACAAATTGAAGCGAACGAACACCTGTTAAAATCGTGTGAGGCATTACTCGATTAGCGCTGTTACCGTTAAGTAATTGCCTGAAATGCGTTTTATTGCAAATAACCGTTATCTTATGTGAAGCGCGTCTGGTACGTGTTTTGTGATTTGATATTGTCAACATATCCATATGTTTATACATACATATGTACATATGTATGTACATACACATTTGCTCTTTCTCTCTCCTGTAATTTCCATGCTGACCCATATAAATTGACACCAGTGCGACCCCGAAGCGGCAACCATAGTTACATACATAAACATACATAAACGTAAATCCATATGCACATACATACATACATATGTAACTGTAACATTCGAGGTCGTACGCTCAAGATGTTTTCAACCTGATATACATATGTAGAAGGGACTGGACTGGAATTAGTGTGACAACTTCGATTCGCCGTTGTTTTGAAGGCCGTTAATTCAGTGCTGCCATCTTCAGATGGCATGCTAAGACCCTAACCAGTAGTCCAATGGTGATGTCTGTGCTACTTGACCGTTCACTTGGAATGAATTCCCCCCATCCCATTCCCTTCTCTGTTACTTCGGCCACATTGTTACGATTATGAAATTAATTTAATTTGTACCATATTACACAAAACATCACCGAGCTACAACTACAAAATCATTGTTTCTGCCGGTGACAGTCAAAGTTCGATTGCCTGCGTCATCCGACTGTAGCTTCATAGCTTTATCGTATGCCAGCAAGTGAAGCATGGACAGACGAGTAGATGTCAGCCCAACGCTGTCCTAACCCGAGTAAACAGAAGCGGTTAGAAGAGTCAAAAAGGTATATGTATGTACATACATGCATACAAACATAAATATATGTACATATGTATGAACATACATATCTGTAAGTTTGAAAATTGTTAACAGTCGTCCACTTTTGCTGTTTTGTGTCTTGCGCATGAGCCCCCGTCCCGTCACGTTTGCCTTGCGCAGCGCAGTCGCCGCCGCCTGTGGCTCAACTCGACTCGACTCGGCTTGCTGTGGCTGCATTGGGGTAAGAGTATAAAACAGATGGGTCGCCAGCCTGTGGTTATCAGTCAGCGGCAGGCGTGGACAGTGCTTCGGTTTTCGCCATTACACTAGTATTTCCAGTGGAGAAGAGAAGAGTTCGTGATTTAATTTGACCAAAAATGTCCACCCTGAAAGCATTAGTAAGTGTTCAAAACGGAAAGGATCAAGTGCTAAAAGTGATTACAAAAAGTGGTTAGATATGCTGATGTACATGTGGATGTACTATATATGTACATACATACATATGCATATACAGAGTTTTGATAATCAAAATTAAGACTGGAAGAAAATATCCAAATTCCAGGCTGCAGTTCATTCACATTCACCCATTCCTTAACATATTTCAGATAATTTTCGCCCTATTGGCCGTAGCTTACAGTGCGCCCAGCCCAGGCTTCTTCGGCAAACAGTGAGTAGCTCTACTAAAAATATACTCGTACCCCAGAAATAACCAGCGTTACGGCAGTGAGATAAATATTAAAAATGTATTCGATTATTAAGCAATCAAGCGCAGAACTGATTAGCCGTGATCACAGCAACACAATCAACGTTGAACTTAGTCCGCTACGAGTCACTTTCTGCCGCATTGGAATTTCCCAGGCTCCGATTGACACTTTATTCATTATAATGCACACATAATTGCTTGACTTAATTGCAAATTCAGAGCATTGATCGTCGTGGTTGTTGTTGCTGTCTGCTGCCGCCTGCTGCCAAGTGACAATCGACCATTACCCATTGCGATCAGCTGGGTTCAAGCAACTGAAGTAGAGTTGACTACAATATCTAATTAGCTAATACTTACTGGAAGCGACGACCACTGCCAAATGCAGACAGCTCAGTCAAGTCTATCCTCCCAGCTCTTCGACTTCACTGGATTTCACTTTCATTGGTTTCCCAATTCGCCTCAATTCAATTCGCAGTGAACATCACACGATCCACGTTCCATACAAGGTCCACACGGTGCACCACCATCATGTGCAGAAGATTCATGTGCCCGTGGTGAAACACGTGCCCATTTACAAAGAGGTTCCTGTGCACCACGTCCACCACGAGGAGATCCCAGTGCCCGTTCATCATGTCCACCACGAGGAGGTGCCAGTTCATCATGTCTACGAGGATCACCACGACTACCACAAGGGCTGGAGCTCAGCGCACCATGGACATGGCTGGATATAGGGCGTATGCATGGCAAATACAACCCAGCTCGACGAAGCCCATTCATCCAAGAAATCCAAGGCAAGCCTCCAGACTGTAAATATTGTACAATTCCTAAGTTAATGATTGTTAATAAACTGAATTCGATTGTATTTGGCCAGTTCGTGTCAGTATCAGTCCCATGCAAGTTTATAAGTAGCCGTTGTACTTGACCTTGGGCGGCGTCTAAAGGCGGCAATTAACCCGGAGTTTTGCAAGAACGACTTTCACAAAGCACTCACCCAACCAGCTCCAAGCTCTATCTGAGGTCAACCGCCAGCCAGCCAACGCTTGGTCTGCCCAACGCGACACGACGCGAGTTGTAAGCCAAAGGGCGTGGCACGCTACATTCCGGTTGTATGACAACGAATGCCACTGCGCACAAATACTACCAGTTCCTAGTTCTCCCTCCTTTCAAGCGATATTAAAACAGGCGAATGTGAGGAATGTTGCCTAATTTTGTTCCATTCACTTCCCAAGTTTGGTTGCCTGGTGGAGGAAAACAAGACTTCAAAGCTCGGATTATTTTACCAACATGCATTTTATTCGGCACCAACAACAGAATTGAGAACTTAGGGAGAAGCGTTAGGAGAGGCTGCGGAGAACGGATATAGAAAAGAAACGATAGAGACGAGGGGATCCTCGTCTTCCTGGTCGCTCTAGTGGCAGTAGGGGAAGTTGGGGCACTCGTGCGGGGAGACTCCGGCTGGGTAAAGCCGCTCTGTCCAGCCGGGCAGCGGAGGAGCCGCCACAGGAGCGCCAGCGTGTCCAGCATTCACGTCGCAGTACGGATAGTTGGGGCAGGTCTGGGGATTGACGCCGGCGGGATACTTGTCTCCACCTGCTGCAGGAGCAGGTGGCGCATTCCAAGAAGGCTGGCTGTTTGTGTTCCACGTTTGCGGTTGCGGCTGCCATTGGGGTTGCGGCTGCCATTGGGGCTGCGGCTGCCATTGGGTTTGCGGCTGCCATTGGGGTTGCGGCTGCCAATGATTCTGGGGTGCTCCCCACTGCGATTTGGGGCTGTGCAGTCGCTCATTATCACAGATTGGGAAGCCGGGGCAGTCCTGTGGATTCACGCCGGCTGGATACTGCGCAGCAGGTTGGTGCTGGGGCTTGGCCAGAGCCAAAGCCAGGCAAGAGGCGAACAGCTGAATGAGAGCCGAGATGATTGATTGCTTCTTGGAAGAGGAGGCTTCGATCCACTTACCAGCTTGAAAAACATGGGGACGGATGTGTGGGTTGGTTGGTACGGCTTTGGCTCTCGAGAAATAATCCTTAACCAAATTGGACTATGAGACGATATCTTAAACTTCCAATTAGGTTCCGTTCCTGGTCAGCGCTGCACTGTTGCTGCGGTGAGTAGCAACCAGGCTTATATAGTGGATGCTGGTGGAGGCTAGAACCGAGTCGAGTCTGGTCTTACTCGCAGTCTCAGTCTCTCGGTCTGATTCGGTTTCACTTTCATTGGCGGCTCGCAGCCGCAGTGGCAGCGGCACCAGCAATTGCTGGCGATGTGGTTGTTGCTTTTGTAGTTGACTGATCTCGCGCATATTTTACTTGATTGGCCCAACAGATTATTATGAGTCTTTGTTGCAGAGCGCGAACAAACAAATCGAACGGGGCCGGCTGGAGGTACATATATATGTACATACGTTTATGTAAGTATCGCTGGATCGAGGGACGGACATGAGTGCAGAATTCAGGTACTATGCTTAAGCTCTCACCTCACTATGCGAACATGCATGTGTATGTACATATGTGCATACACATTTATGTACGAATATCAAGTAACAGACATGCCGTCATTAGCAATGAACTAAGCCCCCGACTTGCAGTTTGGCCAAAAAGAAATCTCTGGTTTGGTTTTGTATTTTGACAACTGCGCGTTGGCGTTTGGCCAATTTTCATTTTTCAATTCCCATTTGCCAGTCGCTGTTAGTTTTTCTAGTTATTTGCCGGCCCTTGTCCCGCTTCTGCCCATGTTAGGATCAGTTCGTGAATCACTTTATTCGGAGCATTCGGATAGGATCGTGTAAGAGGCCATCGCCTTGGCATGCCACATGCTGCAGACGCCTGCCTGCCTTCCTGCCCGGAAGGCATTGCCAGCAGCCCATGTCATTGAAAACTGGTTTCGGAGCAGCGAACTTGCACTAGATCTTACTCTCAATGCACAATACACATTTTCGAGAGGTGGCACTTCTACTATTTTAGGAGTGGGCGATATGGTTGCTATACTCTATATTGTACCAATAAATGTACATGTGTACGTGCATATGCAAATGTCCTGTAGATGCGGTTCGCCAAGATGACATGAATAAATACTTAGTTTCTCGGTCCTTAAACATTATCTGTGATTCCATCCCTAGTTTTGCTTCCTTTCCCCTTTGGCAGTTGTGACTTCCAGAACCCGTTATACTGGCGGCTTTGAAGTCGATTTTTACCCCACAAACGCATTTGCACCGCAGCACTGCGACACTGGAACCGCGGAACTGGAGGTGGAACAACTTACGCACCAACGACTTCCTGGGCTGGATACGTCACAGAGACACAGGCGATGCTGTTCCTTGCAAAATTCAATTACATGGCATGGAAATCGCAGTGCCACACAAATTATGAGCTAATCAGGCAGCACCGTGGCAGCAGGTCGCCACACGACACACGGGCACATAAATATGTACATATGTGCATGAACACGTTATATAGGCGGACGGGGACGGACGAGCGTGCCCAATTGTAGGCACCGGTGCAACAGATTTAGTTTAATTCTTATAATTTGTGCTTGCCGCCAGCCATGGCCAGGAATTTGCGCGGGCGCGGCCAGTCCAGTTCAGTCTAGGCCCGTCCCGCCATCCCTCGACGACTTGTAGGTGGGGTGGTTGTCGGTGTCGCCAGCCTGCCTAATGCGCTGTGGTAAGTTGCGCCAGTCGATCGATCTCGTTAGCCTTGATCAATGGCCCGGAAAAAATGGAATAGAGAACAAATAAAAGCCAGCGAAATTCAAATGGTTGACCGTTTGCAAAGTGCAGTCTTTGTGTCCAGTCCCTGGCGCGGCACAAACCTCGCTGGACCAGAAGCGTACATGTGTTTGTTTTCGAGCTTGAAAATTGATATTGGATGGTGGTGATCTGGTTATATCGCGACTGTTTTCAAGTTTTCGTTTTTTGTCACACGGCGCCTTTTTAATTATTATGCCATTAGTTGTCGCCTTATTTTCTCAAGATATTAATTATCTATTTCCTTCTATGCTGACAGCTCCGATTCGAGCACGGGGTGTGGTGCAAGCCTTATGCATGCGTGGGTGGTCACTTTATTCAAAAAAAATAGAGAAGGCACCTGGAAGAAGTTTTAGACGCGACTTTCTACATTGTAGTCATTCCAATATCTTCATTTTAACGTTTTTCTTTTAAATTCGGCCTAACAGAAGTAAATCTTTCAAATGATCTTACCAACAAATTTTTAAATAAGTAGACTAAAAAGCAAACCATGTAAAAACGTTGCTCAACTCGCTCCTAAAACTGATACTGGCGATAGTTTAGGAGCTCGATGCAGCCGCAGCTTCGACTTTTCTGTCGACCACTTCATCAGTTTCCATAGCTACAACCTCGGTAGCTTCAGTCTCCGTTGCTCCTATTTCCGTCACCGTTGCTGCACTTTGGGTATTGTGTTTGTCCTCAGCCTCCTCGTTATCAGTGTCATTCAAGGGCACGTCTTGTAGCAGAGCCCGGCGCGTCAATTCCTCATTGTCTAGAAGATGTGAGTTTTGTTAAGGAATCTGTTTTACAACAAAACAGGAAATATAATGGTTTTGGTACCAGAGTCGAAATCCTCTGAAGAATCGCTGCCGGAGCTATCGATGCGATTTTTTGACGTTGGTGTTTGCTGATTTAGTGAGAGACGAGGAGCAACTGGTCGCTTCTTGCGCGCTGGATTCAAGGCATTGCAAAAGGCACAACGAAATGAAGTGTAAACATATTCATCCTCCGGCAGCATACCTATTATCGGCGCAAACAAAATTTGACATTAGAGTTCCGCACTTAGCAAATCAAATCAGTTCTCACCGTTATGGCCATCGCACTCTTTGCAGATCATGCCGTAGCGAATCGGAGTGTCTCCTACAATAAAGTCTACGATACGGTCTACTGCGCTGCGTGACCGGTTCTGATCGATCACGGGAAAAGGCGTACGCCGACGCATTTCCTGCACTGCGCCCACATTCGAAGAGGCTGACGTCATCGATAGTATCGAGCTGTTAAGATTGTTGTTGTTTACGTTGCGGTTGCGGTAGACACTGCTGTATGGAGTCAACGATAACTGATGCGCGCTGGCTCCTGACAATCTTGCTGCAGGCTGAGACGTGCGCTGGGGCTGGGTTACAGTGGAACGACTAAACGACTGGTTTAGCTTCTTGTCGCCAAAGCGTTCCAGGAGATTCACTGCCACCTGTAAAAGAAAAGAGCGGTAAGCCCAGCTAATTTACATACATATACAAATGACAATACCTTGTAGGTCTCTTTGTCCATGACCTGCTCCAATATCTTTTTCTTCTTCTCCTTCAGCTGGCCCAGCTTATCGCCATTTTTGTTAAGCTTGCGCTGAAAGTACCACGTAAACATCTGTCTCATTGAAACGATGCTAGAGTGAAAAAAGCAGAGATTTGTTTTAGCGCGTCGTTTCAGTGAGATCATCACCATGTGATGTATGTGATGCTTACTCACATAATGGGGAACAGGAGCAGCGGCACCAAGTACACGATGCGCTCTTTCCATGTCGGTGGGAAATAAAAGCAACACCATAGTCCAAAGCCGACTATGTATGCCCCAATTGTGATGCCAAGAAAGTTTGTGACGAAGCTCCGCTTCCTCTCTTGCGTATTGATCATGTATTTCTCCAAGTCTTTGATCTGTACCTGCAGTCCCTCCAGAACCTCCTCCGTCGATTTTTCCTTCTATAATTAGAACCATGGGCCGTCCTATTATAAAATTCTTGCAAAATGTTTTATTTTTTGGTAAATACGCACCCGAAATTTCGACAAAACGAATCCCATCTTGACGCTTTCGAAATAAACTAGAAGGTGGTCAAACTGAGAACATTTATTTTTATTTTTGATATTCCTTAAATTTATTTGTTGTTTGTTAGTAATATCGATTTATCGATAGAATATACCGAACTACTATCAAAAACTTACCAAAGTATACAACAAAATACCGTAAGTCTTAAATCATATTATATTCGCTAGAACTATAAATTAATCCGCTTCATCAATCAATACCACAAGATTGGCTGGTTTTCACGACTCCTTTTTATTATATTGGCTACAAAATAAAGTCAACCAACAAAAGATATGCTTAAAATGTGGTTGATGTGGTTCTCAGGTAGCTTTCAGTTTCTTATTTTACTTTGTGAGCATTTGTGAAAACTGAATAAGAAGTAAAGAACTCATGAAATAAGAAATGGATCCAGGCAGGATCCAGGACAATCAACGTCCAAAACATTGCGTAAACCTATGAACATATGTATTTATCTCTGTGGGAGAGAAACATGAAAGGTCGTTTTTCTACAGATGTGAGTATTATAATATATCTAAATAGTGCATGTGTATGGAAACACATCTAACACACATTCTGCAGATGGAAAAGGCAATCAGAATTCTTTGAGAATTAGCATATGTCTGAGAAGAACTTCTGCAGCATTCTTACATACATATATTGGTGGTACAGCAGGGCCGCTGAGAAGCACGGTGGTAATTTATTGAGACTTTACTCTCAGTTTGCTAGGTAGGCCTGCGGAACATAAAACAAATTTAGCTTTTTTGAGCTGCTCGAAAACTATCCTCGAATACCTCAGGCTGGTTTTCTAGAATTCATTGGCAAATTCTCAAAGATTACTGATGGCATTTGAGGCATATTTTCAAAATGGGTTTCCATACATGTACACTGATTTGTATGATTTATAATACTCACATGTATAGACAAACGGCCCTCCCGGATTCTTTCCTGCAGAAATAGGTTTGCTCAATGTTGTCGGAGCTTATTTCGTTGATTGTCCTCCTCATCCGCTAATGGAAGAGCCGCCAATCCCACTAAAATTAATCTCCAGCATGGATCCATTTTGCTTTCATTGTTTAACCTTTTTTTCACTTTTCACACATTTTCAAAAAGTAAACAAAGCCAAACGGAGAGAAGTGTTCCTGAGAAGTGTAACTGTAAGGAATTCGGCTTTCACCTCTGGTCACACTCTGGTGCTAGCAAAATATATTGCACAGTTTGCTAGCAAACGTGTTTTCGGATTTGAGTACTTGGCTTTAAGGAAAATGTCATACGTTTCGATATATTTACGGTATATTTTCAAAATTTGAAGGTATATTTCATCCATAAGTCCGCGGTCACACCGACTTAAACAAAAAAATTATAAGAACAAAAAAATGCGACAATACATTCGCGGTAGCGATTAAATACAAAAACCAAAAAAATGACGGATTCTGCTGCTGCCGAAGATTCGGGTGAAGCTGCCTCAGATCATGATTTTATAGAGTTGAAGAGCATGCAGGATGTGGAGGCATGCGACCAGCGGCAATTATACCAGTATATTGAAAAACTACATGGAATTATCCGCAAATACGACACCAGGCTTGCGGCCAATAAACAAAAGCTGAAACAAGTAAAAATTACAATTTACTGTATGTACGTTTGTAAATAATAATGAGGTTCCAATTCAGTTAAGCAATGAGACAAAGCTATGTCCGACAACCACAAAATCTAACACAAATTTGGAGGAGAGAGAATCGCCTGCAAAACATGATACAAATAAGAAGGACCCTGTCACAGAATGTAAGTTCAAGTAATGAAGCAATATTTTATTTTATTATAGGTAAAAATATGTGGCCAAGCCCTTATATCGTCTTACTGGCCACAGCGGCGACAAGAGCCGCACCACGACCTGAACCATCCTCCGATAACATAATATCAAACTCCTTGTCCGACTTCACCAGCTTATGCATTGTGTTCCGCATGTAGGCGTCAAATTTTGGGTGGTACCTGTACACAGAGCCATCCATGCCAACTACAATGCGTCGATTCGAAATTCTGTTTATCAGGCCACTGACGCCAATACCAACCAGGGATGCCGCCCGCTTGGACACACACTCGCAGATGTACCTGATCTTCTGACAGTCTTCCACTGATGCTTTTTCCAGTCCAAACAGCTCCGTGATAATGGATCTTGTTTTCGGAAATTCGGGAAAAGAGTCTGACTCGATCTCGGATATGTATCGCGTTTCGAAAACGTCTACATTTTTCTGCATCGCGGTGGCAAAGTGTTCCCGTCGATTGCTTAACTTGAAGAGGACTTTGCGCTGTATGGCCCGAATCAGTACCAAACGAACCAATCTGCCGAGATACATTCCGGATGTCATTTTTTCAAATAGTTGCTCCGACTTGTTGATCGACGTATCGTCCACCTCGCGGTCATATTCGGTGCGCACGAAATCAAGTTGACCGCTCTCACCGAAAGCTCCCCACTCTGCATTGACTAGGACTTGGCGCTGGGTTCGCTTAAAATCCGGGTGCAGAAGATCCACGTTTGCTACGTCTTCGACATAGCAGGCGTTGCAGCCTGTTCCCACGATAACACCTACACGGCAGTCGGCATTGCGGTGTGCGCACGACATGAGGGTGCCTGTAGTATCGTTGAGAATGGCCACGACGGCAATTTCCACATCGCCCCGTCGCTGGATGGCCTCGTGCAGCAAACGACCCACATCTTCGCCTTCCACCCCCGGGCAGCCAAAGCCCTTTGTCCAGCGCACCAAAATGGCCTCCTTGAGCCCAATCTGCTCGCAAGGAAACGAAAAGGTGAAACCCAGGGGAAGATGTGAATTTCTCATATCGTGCTTTTCCACAAATCTGGCCAGGCACTCAGCGATGTGATCGAATAACTCGACGCCAGGGCCAACCATCAAATCCTTCGGCACTGCATATATCTGTGACTCCACCGTGGCGTCGTGGTGTCCTTTGAGGGAAACGAGGAGCACCCGGAAGTTGGTTCCACCCAGGTCCAGTGCCAAATACTTGCCCATCTCGTCGCCTGTCGGCAAGTCCTGCACATAAGTTGGGAAACACTTGGTGTTGGCCTGCACATGTGTGGACTTTTTCAAACCCTTTGCTATTTCCGCACAGAATCGGCTGTACACCTCTTGAACCTGGTAGTCGCTCAGCACAAAGGCTTGCATAAGTTCTCGCACCTCCACATCCAGCATTTTGATTCTTCTGATCTGGGCTCTGGGTCCAACCGCTTGCCTCGAACGAAGAGTAACGACTAGCCGCATTCTCCGTGACAGCACACCTCGATTCGCACTATTCCCCGATAAGAGTTGCTCAATTTTCGCAATGCAATTCAGCCAGACGTAGGCACAACTGCACAATCTGCAGCAGGCCTTTCGTAGAAAATTAAAAACAAAAAACACCTTAGTAGCTGCATCTGAATCTAAATCTGAATATGAATCTGGAACTGCAACTGCAACTGAGCGATGTATGCTAATCGCTCTGGCTGGCATGCTTACTGCCTCTCAATTGCTGGCAATAGCTCCTGATTTGCCACCCTATGTACGTCGTAAGCCTAAGCCTACACTTAAAGAGTTTATGACGCATATGGCTGCATTAAAGGAAACAAAATACAATAGAATTCACCTTCTCTCAATTTCTATACGCAAACAATCAATCCCTTTATCAATCAATTTATTCTTTGTCTATCACCTGCCCAGGTGACGATAGTCGCTGAATGCTTTTACAAGGAGTACGTTCACAGTTCGAGATCCATCCACCCACTGCCACTATCAGCCGACTCCGAGGCCGGATCATAAAGCGCGCGTCAAGCATTCAAGCATGTTAGTGCCTGAGATTAGTGCCGCTACCCTGAGATCCCACTTGCTCTTGCACTAGCACGTTTAATATAAAGCTGCTTGAAAGCCGCACAAGTGAGGGGACGTTGGGGTGTGGGTGCGATTTATGGCCTAGTGGCTTAGGGCGATAAGTTAGGTGGGGCTCATTGTCCCTTGCAATGTGTTGCGCCATGGAGTTAACGCTTCTGTTCTTTAATTTTTAGATTCGGCTACGGATGCCTTCAGTTTTGTGGACGAGATGCGCCAGGCGGCCAAGCATGCGGAAAACCTAAACAACTTCGTATATGAGCCGACGTCCGGCATGTACTACGATCCGAAGACAGGCTACTACTACAACGCGGTAAGTACGCAATAAACACCGAATGTAATCTTTATGACGTCCCGTTCCGCTGCGTTTTGTTCTGTTGTGTGCAGCACGCTGTGCTGTGACATTCAGAGGTTATCGCTTTGACGGGCCCATGAAGATCGTGGGTACGAATTGTTTTGAACCCGCTCTCATGTTTCTTCCCAGGAGTACGATCTGTACTACGATGGCAACACGGGCTGCTACTACAGCTACGATCACGGCAAAGACTCGTACGAGTTCCATTCGCAGGCTCAGGTGCAGGTGAGCGGGCGTGGACATCCCACTGGCGCCCAGATAATTAACCGATATTCTTTTCTCCTTGGTGCGCAGCACTTGAACAGCTGCGCATATAGTAGACTTTTAAAGGGTTTTCACAAACTGAGCATAGACCGAATGCGTAGCAATGCATTAGGTAAGAACTAAGATCCAGAACGTTCGATAAAAACGCGGATTTCTTTTCTTTCACTGGTTGCAGGCAAACGACGCAGCCAAGCCCGGATCGGAGCCCAACGATGACGAGGATGATGAGGTGGAGTTTGACGAACTCGGCGGTGTCATAACGGACACGGCAACGCTGCAAAAGATTAAAACTGAAAAGCAGAAGCTTAAAGAACGAGCCGAAAAATCCAAGCGCAGGGCAAAAAAGAAGAAGGAAAAGAGCAAGAAGCACAACAAGAGTAAGCGTAAGAAGGAGCGTATCTCTAAGCCGAAAAAGAAGCGTCGCAATGCCGATGATGACAGGGTCGCTGAGGACGGCGAACTCCAGTCCAGCGACTCCAGTACCAGCTCCAACTCCAGCGAAAACGATAGCAGCAGTAGTGGCAGTGAAGATGACGGCGGTGTTCCCGTCTTCAAGGCTGCTGGACGCTTTCAAGGTGTTTAAAAGATCCGATCCGCATTTTTATCTAGCCTTCTGCGATGGTCAGCCTAGAGATTTCTAATACAAAACTCCCCTTGTTCTCCCAACATCCATAGACATCGCCAAGAAGTATCCGCCCTCGCTGCGGATCATTGTGCAGGAGACAAATGTGGAGGAGTTAGTGGTCGGGAGCCTGCATTTGATCACATACAAAGGCGGATCGTTGGGTCGCGAGGGCGAGCATGATGTCATCATACCGGATGTAAACGTGAGCAAGAGTCATTTGGAATTCTTTTACGAGGCCAAAACGGGAATCTATAGATGTCGTGACCTTGGCTCCCGGAATGGCACCGTCCTCAATGGCATGCGCATGGCGAGCGAACCGATGGATCTGGTCCACGGGAGTGTCGTCACCATTGGACAGACTAGACTTTTGTGTCATGTGCATGAGGGTAACAGCACGTGCGGACTATGTGAGCCAGGTCTGTTGATAGAGACGCAAGCACCGGTGGCAGCCACAGCGTTGTCATCCACTGCGATGGTACTGACACACAAGGAGCAGCTGAAGAAGCTGCAAAAAAAATACGGTCTGGAAAATGAAAGTGAGTAGGAGTTGCGCCTAGTTGTGTCTAGCGGCGACTTGTTTCTCTTACAAAAACGCATGCCGTTTATCGCTTCATTAATTTACAGAATTTGTTGAGGCTAGTGGCAATGGACAGCACAAACCAAACTACAATGATCGTGCGGCAACGCGACGCGTCAACGTGGGAAGTAGTACGGACAAGGAAAAAACGGAGGTGGCCTGTGTGCATACGTAAGTGCCTCAAAGCTGAATAGTTTCTTGCTCCGTAGGTGGCGTTAACCCAAACACTTATTTATATTCGCAGCGAGATTGCCAGCTCCAACAAAGGGTTCAAGATGTTGAGTAAGCTTGGATGGCAAAGAGGCAATACTTTGGGAAAGACGAACGCCAGTGCGGGGCTGCTGACGCCGGTAAACTTATTACACATCATAAAATACTCATATGGACAAATAAGATTCCTTATATTTTGTATTTTATTCGATAGATCAATGTGGTGGCCAACGAGGGAACCAGTGGTCTGGGGAGGAGTGAAACTACAGGCGTTCCTAGGCCAGTAGAGAAACGCAAAATAGCCAATTTAAAGATCACCCAGGCGCGATATCAGCGGGCCAACGACATATTCGAGCAGTCCGACGAAAGCGATTGAAAAGCATTAACATTGGAAGATGGAAACACATTTATTTAACAATTACTCAAACATATGCGTAGGTGTGTGTGTGTGGATTATGTGTGCATATGCTTTTAGACTTGTATATAGTATTAATTAAAAATCTTTCTATACGGTTAAGCTATCAGTCATTGATTAATTTAGCTTCGCTTTAAAAAAAGTAGAAAATGCTAATATTAAATAAATATGACATCGTTCGGCTACATATGGTCTCGTGTGGCTAAACTAAGCACACGAAAATCAATCGTTTAAACTAATAATTAAGTTGCCTATGTTAATGTTAAATACAAAAGCCTCTTAAGATATGTGGTTTCTCTTGCAATATATATTGGATACGAGAGCTTGCAATACGTTCATATAATGTCGTATGGTGGATAATACTTTGCCATATGAAAGTGTTTTCGGTATTATTTAGTGGACAGTTTGGGCAGTTTTGACAGTATGTCAACCACCTTAGGCCATCCACCTCTTTCAACACTAAACGCTCAACGAGAATCTTTGGATGCTGGAACTGTGGAACAGGACCCAGCGTAGAAATACGCTACAACTACATACTTCCCCATATAGCGCCTTCTATGTAATTTACTATGATATTAATATGAAAATGCTTCCTTTGTGGCTCTGCTCTAACAGCTCCCCACGGCCTTGACACCTATGAAGAACCCAGTTGTGCAGGAGTGCTGATGTACCTCGCACCACGAGCTGTACGTGTGGTTGTTGAATCCGCATATTTTGTGCACCTGGAAGTGGAAATGGATGGTTTTTGTGTTACATGTGTGACGTCGTCCCATACAAACGGAGACTCACCGGTCGCTGCTGTTTCCGCGGGCAATTGTACGGACAGGACACGCAGCGCGGTAGGCGCGTCTGCAGATCCACCAAGCAAGTATCATTCGGGCCACATACGATATCATCGCAGCCAGCGTGGTCCTCTGCAAAATAAATTTTACGATTTGACGTATTCAGTTAATTTAGTTGGTCGCGGTGAAGTTTCTGTCCTGTTTTATGTCTGGCAATTTCAGTTTATAGCTAATGTGAATGGCCCAGCCCGTATCCTGCTAGCCTTGCGAACAACGGCAGGTGGTGCCGTGACTACTCAAGATGCAACAAGCCCTCCGTAAAAAACGATGTGTTTCTTTTATTTTTATAATTCTACCTCTTAAATCGAGTTCTTGGTATCTGATGTCCATTAAAAAACTTACGCAGCATTGTCTTATGCCTGCCCTAAACCTCCTTCCGCTTTAACGTGGTGCTAGGGCGTTTGCTGTTGTTGCAGAACAGTTTTAATATTTTGAGTAGACTAACGTACGCTACGAATAACGTAATGGCTGCAAGAGAAGAGCGAGGAAAGACAAAATTTCAGAAACTACATATCTTTCTCTCCCTCTCTTAGATCGATTTGGGAGCATGGAGCGGTACGGATGGCTGACCATCGCTATTTTTCCTTCCAAGCCAGAAAATTAAATCTGAACAGTTGCCAAACCATCAATTATTAATTTTCAAGCTAAAAGGAAAAAAAATCTTGTGAAATTCTGGCTGTGTATATAGTACGTAGTATTTGTGGGGAAAAGTGGATGTACATATGTAACTCCCAGAAGGAAACTTTTCCGACCCCATAAAATATATATGTATATGTATGTATTCTTGAGCAGCATCAGTAGGCGATTCGATAGAGCGATGTCTGTCTGTCCGTCTGTTTGTCGGCTAGTTCTCAGAGACTTTAAGAGCTAGAGCCACAGAGACTCCAGACTGCTGTGATAGTGTGATATCAAAAGATATAAAAGTGTATTCGCCCTCTTTGGGCGAAAATCTCCCACAGCCACAATTTTAAAGATACGAGAAAACTACCCCCATCCCGTCATTTTTTACACATTCTCTCATTCCACACTCTGCGAAGTGATGTAGATGTAGATGCACATGTAAAAAAAATGTAAAATGTAAAATTGGAAAAAAAAACGACTAAGGTACAGGTGTCCTACTGACTACCAGGTATACAAGTTGAGACGCGTACGAAGCGTATCACACGTCCCTTCTCCGAGTCCATTCCGAGTCAGATGAACAATTTTGTATGTAAAGTGCAATAGGGTTGTGGTGTTCTGTAAAAGGATGATCGCGCGAACTAGCGATTTAGTATCCTACGATGTCAACGAGGGAAGGAGGATACCAACATTGAAATTTTAGGGGAACGAAAGTCTGGACGTTTGCAAACTGCAACTTTCTTGGCTGACACATTATTCACACCGCAGGCATTGGTATTGCCAGAGCAGCCCTTCCCCGCACGAGGGGCGGTGACTGGAGCGCATGCTCAAGACGGGTAGCAGCAAGTCGAACTGAACTTCAGATCCAGCCAAGTCAAGCCGCCAAGAGCCCAGAGCCAGTCAGCCAGTCAGCTAGCCAGCAAGCCAGCCAAGCGGCACGGAGCCGCAAACGCCAGGCAATATATGTATTTATCGTCAACATGATCATGATCCCCGACTTGGCTACAATGTTGCATGCCCCTGAAGCATTGTTGATCGCGATTGCTTAACGGGTGAAGCAGGAGAAGGGGCTGGATGGGGGATCCTCTGCACGCAGACGGGATGCGGCAGGCGAGGCGAGGCGAAGCAAGGCAGAGCATACCTTCGTCTGGTTCTGCACCTCTGGGAGGGCGGGAGTTGGGCGCGACGGTGCGTGAAAGTCGCCCGTCTACCAATTCGTAACAGTTAACGTTTATTAATTTCAACTGCCAATTTAGCTCTAGGCCTTTTGCATCGTACGGCTCTCCCCTCCGCGCCGCCCCCTGGCCACACTGGTTGATTGTGATGGATATGTCGGGAGCACGACCACGGCCTCAGCACACATACATACAACTAGTCCCCACATCTGCAGATTCTGCTGGAAGTATGGCTGATAATGCCGTCACAATGCAGGGCAACTATAATTTGCAATGTCGACGTGGTTTAATCAACGCCAGCGGCTGTCCCGAGCTGTCTCCCCTCCGTCGCTTATTGCCCGACGTCCGTTGGCGGAACTTATTGCAACATTGTGTGGTATGGTCAGAAATTCTGGCTATTTGGGCATTGCGTGTTGTTTAAGGTGATTTTAATACGATCGTAAACTACAGCCGACCCAGGGGAAGCGCAAGAGCCCAGACGCAGAGCCAGACATAAGTGACGTCGCGACGACGTGGACACCTGGACAGCTGGACCGGACGGACAGCCCAAAACATGACCGGACTCCACTCCTCGGCAGTGTGTGTGGATGGGATGGGATGGAGACTACGGCAGAGTCTGGCAGTTGTAATCACAGAACCTACGTCACCGAAGTCATTGCGAAAATGGCGTTTTAATGGTTTGAACGTGTAGTCATATTTCTTGGGGGCAGCGGGAACTCTCTGAGGCCCGGGTCTGAGTCGTCCATGCTAGTGCCTGTTCCTGTTCCTGGTCCCATGCCTTTTTCTTTCCCTTTATTATTTTGTTCGGGCCGGACCTGGGGGCTGCATTGCTGCATCGCAGAATGTATTTAGAAGTATGTGACAGCAGACAAGCCAACACACGAGACCCATAAGCTTCATGGATAGTCATGAAGGTAGAATGCTCAGGGACCAACGCACACAGGTGCACCATCTTATCGCCAGACGATCCAGAACCCAGAAGTATAGAGAGGTGCATTGGCAATGGTCGGGCAGTGGTAAGACTGGATACGAGAGATAGAGAGAGAGAGAGAGAGGGAGAGAGAAGGAGAAAGCAGTCTAGTCGAGATCAAGAAACTGAATGCACGCACGCATGCGCAGGTCCAGGAAGGTAGGGTAGGGTACGGAAGGGAAGGGAAGGGAAGGTAAGTGGAACTGGAAAGGCTAAAAGCAAAAGTGAATAGTAGTTAATGATCTTAACTTATTGAATTGTCCGGCTACCGTTCAGAGATCAGAAAGATCGTGCTAGATGTATGCACTGTACAGGGGCCTGCACGAGATGGCTTCAACTGACTCAACACTCTGATGTGATGGTAGTGGTAGTGGTGGTAGCTTTGGATAATGCAATGCGGACCGACATTATAATCGAACTGGGTGCCGACTGATTGGCCATCGATAACTTATAATAGAGCGATGTGAGGCAGCCAAAGGGAATTGCGTAAGCGGCGACTGCCACTGTTTGAGAGCCTTAATTGTGAGCAGTAATTTGCAAAACACAGCAATTAACAGACTGAGTGGGCTTCCTGCCAAAACTAATTTGCATGGTCCGTCTCGTGCGCGTCTCCAGATTTGGTGCGACAATGAAACGCCCACCCCGCCTGCAGTGCCACCGATTGTTGAGATGGCTCCTACTGCATTTCCCAGTGTAATTAATTGGATATCGGAGTCGATCAATCGGAGTGCAACCACAAAACTAATAAGCATGAACGGCTGTAAGCTGTTCGCTGTAATTGTGGATGTGGATCTGCGCCAGTCAAAGTGGAGCAGAGACTCGGACAGACAGTGCGAAGGCCTAATCGAATTGCTAGCAATCATGGAGCCGTATAAGCCAATGTAGCAATTTCAGCCAAACGCTGAGCAGCGGCAACCCGATATGGCCTGGCTGCAGACCAGGTAACGACTCGACTCGACTTGACTCGGCTCGATTCGAGCCTTTGCGAGTACTAAGCCTAAGTCAAGTCAATCAAATGCAAAATTGCGGTTCTGTGTTGATTGCTGTTAAATTTGCACAGCCCCGCTAGAGCAACCATCAGCCATCAACCGTCAGCAGGCAGTCAGCTACTAGCAACGAGCAACCAGAAACCAGCAACCAGAAACCTCAGAGCTAAAACTGCAACAATGCATTGAAATTGTAATTGCAATGGCAATTGCAGGCTACAATTTGCCCACTTCAGCAGGGCTCTCTCCATAGCAATTAATTTGATTGATTTTTCCAGCCAAACGACACACGTCCTCCAGCACTACCCAATACATGTACTCGTACATACCACGACAGGGTCCCGAATATGCCACTGCGATGGAACGTCCAATTTTGCAAATCATTCGATTTATATCACAAACGCTCCTGTATGTCTTGCCGTCGACACCGCACACCGCCTGCGTTGCGTTTGGGGCGCGTCCATCCACCTCCTCCTCCCAGGGACACTCGATTTTGCAGGGAATGCAGTGCGGCGTCAAGTACTGATCCTCCACGCAAGTGTGGCTATTCAAGCACTGGACTCCCCTACAGCTGCCTGTGAAATAGAAAAACATACATAGGTGCATATAGGTAAAGAAAATGTACACACACTCACACACACACACACACACTCACTCACACACGTCTACTCTCGTCAAGAGTTCATGAAAATATGATTAGTTTAAGTATGCCAACGTAGTAGGTTGCAACTTGGTGTTCGTATACTCTTAGGAGCTGATTGAGACTATTAATAAACTATTGGCCAATTTCCATGATTAGTCAGATCCTCGTTGCGTACATGTACATATGTACAGATGCAAGTAAGTGTGTGTGGCGCGCAATAAACTGTCGAAATTTATCATGGTACAAGCCATGCCGATCCGATGGGGCCGGGCAAGTTGATGCGAGTTCCCAATGCCTTGGCGCCAACTGTGACACTTGCAAGAAATTGCATTAATTTTTCTGCTCAAAATTACGAGTGTTATTGAATGCGAGTGGATGCCGTACATGTACATATGTATGTACATAGATGCAGATAAACTCCCATCCGCCAGGGAACGCAACGCCAAACGGGTGCCGATTGCACATTCCATTGGATGTCGGCACGCGCCAACGTTAGATTGCTGTCATTGTTGCTGTTTTTGCTGATTCGAGTATTGCCGTTTATGTCTTGCAACAGAAACTGCTACGACCATAGCATCAGAATCAACATCAGCCCCAGGCAGTAGCAGGCATGTCGTGTGCTCACGGCTAATCCAACAAGTTCTTTGGACTCTTGGCTTATCGTTCTTGTGTGCTGCGCTGTTTTTATTGATAATTTGAGCATGTTTGAGAGTGCTTCCTGTATCATTAAATTATTACACAACATTTCGATCGGAGCTCTTGAGGGAGGGGCTCGGGATCGGGATGGGGATGGGGATGGGGATGGTGATCGGGATCCGATCGGATCGGATAGGCGAGCACAACGTCTGGCTCCAGCTCCAGCTGCAGCTCCAGCTCCAGCTGCAGCTCCTGCTCCAGCTTCAAGTCAGACTCCGACTGTGGCCGGTTGATTTCACCACTGGCGACAAGTTGTTGGCCGTAATTGAAATGTGCAATAATTTGTCATCTAATCTAATTGTGGCACGCGAGCGCGACCAGACCGTTCCCCAGCCCCGACTGGACGCAGTACTGTGTGTGTGTGTGTGTGTGTGTGTTGTGTGTGTGTGTTGTGTGTGTGGATATGGGTGGACTAACTCTTGCAGTGGCCCCGATAGGCGACCTCCAGTTGGGCGTTGCTTGTGCGACAGGCGCGCTTGCGCAGCTGGCACTCGGTGTTGTAGGTGCGTCCGTCGGTGCCGCAAACCGGATTCTTGTGCTGCTGCTGCTGCTGCTGCTTCTGAAAGTAACCAAGTTAAAGAAACGCCCAAAAAGAGCCCTAAGGAGTATGCAACGCAAAATGCAAATGGAATGCCTAGATACGTACATATGTACATATGTATGTAAATATATATGTAAATATGTAATCTAAGTTCCGCCATTCTATAAACATATGTACATACATACCATCCCAACTTAGATTGGGACTTACCGTCAGCACAGGCTCATAAATTCCACCCAGAAAAGCCAAGTCACCGGCATTAGCCAAGTGGCCATGGTCGATGCTGTGGCTGTCCGCAGCAGCAGTAGCCACCGATGACGCAGTCATTTCACTTCCGTGTTCGCCCAAGTACAGACGACGCGTCTGAGCTTGCGTCTTTGCCCCAGACATTGTGGTATTCGCCGCCAGCATAGATGTTGCTGCGGTGCTCGCAACTTCTGCTGGAGCCGCTCCAAAGCGCTGTTCGTGCCGTTCACGATCCTTGCCTGACCTGTGCTTGGGCCGATGCCTTAGCGGCTCTCGCTGCCCATTGTCATGATCTGGTGCATTCTCCATACGTCTGGTGCTGGTGCTGGTGCTGGTGCTGGCTTGGTGGTGTCTGTACGTGGCATTGTCTAGCTTCTGGTACTGCCTGTTACTATTACTGTCGTTGGCGGGTTCATTAGCATTTGCAAAATTGTGTCTAGACTGAGCCGGAGCTGGAGTCGAGACAGAGACAGAGACAGAGACAGGGGCAGACAGGGTCGCCTGCGCAGGCGTCTTGTCTGGTTTGGACGAGTCGTTGGCTCCTGTCGTCATTGATCTCGTAAAGTGTTTGCCTTGGTTATTTCTGTGTCTGCGCCTCTCATAGGCCGTCATTTCCACTCTGCCGCCGCTGCGCCTGGTCGTGGGCTGCTCTTGCGAATTCCTATTGCGGCTGCTGCTGCCTATAACCAAAAGTCTTCTGGGCTTCGTCTCGCCATGCGCCCTTTTGTGACTCTGGCGCCATTCAATCTGTTGCATTTCTTGTTCTCGTTCGTGACGCGGTTGATGCTTTCTTTGGTTGGCAGCGATGGGGTTGCTGTTGATAATTTCGCTACTTAGACTACGTGAGCCACGTGGAGGCACCGTCAGTGTCACTGTCACTGTGGGAGACTGCTTCCACAGCTTCTCGTGCTGCCTTCGACGCAGCGCTGCCCCACACTCGGGTGCACACACGCACTTGGGCCGTCCCTTGCGCTTGACGCACTTTTTGTTGGGTCCACACTTGAAGCCCTTACAGTTCTCTAAAATGAGCAACACACAACAAAGGTAACATACAGGAACAGTAATTAAACATAAGTAAACATCTATCTGATAGAAATAAAATATTTGGTATGTGCCTCAAATGTACAATATATGTACGTAGATGTCATGTCAGAAGACAATGTATGCCAGCTGTGGGTATCCACATATCCAGTAAAGTAAACCAAATCTGTCTTTTACATAAATACTCTTGGATCGCGACTCCCTGGCTATCGTCGAATTTGCGTTATCATAATATGTACGAGTTACTCTCAAGAATAAGCTCTCTGCTACGGTTCGATAGCATTCAAAATATCTACGATGTTAGTTTAAAATTCAAATATACATACGGTATATGTATGATGGAGGGGCTTTTACTGGTGGTGAGGGATGGTCTTTACACACTTACCAATGCACGGTGCGCACTCGACGCCGCCTCCGATTGCTGTCGCAAAGAAGTACTCCACGCTGCTCAGCTCGCGATCGGTGTAGGAGAAGGTCTGGCTGGCGCCACAACATTCCGACTTGGTGATGTTCGTGGAGAAGATTTGGCTGCACTTGCCGGTACCCAGGTGGGTCTGCCAACAGGTGCCAGCTGCAGAGAGAGAGGAGAGCAAAATGTGGGCAGAGCCTCATTAAAGCCATTGCAGGGCAGTCGGGAGTCATATGTATGTACATATGCTATGGGAGATTCTATTCAATTGACCCTTCCCTTCGAGATTTAGGATCCATGGAAATAGTCGTCATAAATAACGGCGTGTTTACTAAATGAAATCAGTTAGGAATGTTCATGCCATGACGCTAATTAATTTGAGGCAGAAGTCGTGCCGTCCGAACGATCGATCCACAATATCGCAAAATGCTGGCGGAGAAATTCGCGGGCTTGCCTCTGCTTTTTTCGATATGTTTTGTTTTTTTTGTTTTTGATCGCTCCCGCATGGTAGTAGTAAATGCGATAGCGTCCGTCGTCCGTCGTCCGTCGCGATAAACAAACAACAGCCGCAGCTCTTCTCTTCCGTGAGAATTTGCGTCATATTTGAATAAAATGTGCCACATTTGTCGCTCGGTTGCGACAAGGCAACAGGCAAGACAGCCTCTCACAGCTGCAGGCACGAATGGAGGAGAGTAGATGGAGATACATTTGGAGACTGAGATGGAGATGGCATGAACGGACTCGGAGAAATATCGAAATACGAGTACGTGCAGATGTGGCCCTTTGATTTTGCGTCAATCTCTCCTAAAGCAAGAGTGTAAGCCAGAAGTAGGAGTATCTGCGACCATTGTATGATACTTACCCGCCGCCAGGCGCATATTCAGAAACATCAATCCAGCGGAAAACAGAGCCATCGACAACGCCCGAGATGTGGCTCTCAGGATCAGGTAGCCCCTTTTCCGATGCAGATTTAGACGTAGACTGGCCCCAGTTGGCTGTTCCTGTATACCTTGTTGCTGTTGCTTATGGTTTTCACGTGCCTTTGACACCTCGTCAATGGGATCGCGAGTACCGGGCATGCGTTTGTGTCTCACTCGGACAGCATTGACGTCACGGCCTTGGCCGGCAGCAGCCCTGCCACAGCCATAGCCATTCCCGCCAGTGGCCGGCTCTTGCAGAGAGTTCCATGCGATTACTATAAATAAACTTAGAATTGTTCTACTTTTGTGGCTAGTAGTTGTCGCCGATGCCGATGCCGATGCCGATGCCACTGTCGTTGCTGCGGCTGATTCTGATTCTGATGCTGATGCTGATGCTGAAGCTGCTGACGTCTTTGACATTGTTGCCAATTGTGGCAGTGTACGCGGTGTACGCGCTTCCGCTGTTGCGCTGGCCACAGGAAGTGCGCGGATCGTCGACATGTCTCTGCGTTTGAATTTGTAATTTGATTTTAAAAATGTCAAATTGTTCTGGCTGTTCGTAGGATGGCTATGAGGCATGACAAGGCAATAGAAAACGGCCAAAGCTGCGAATAAAAGACGCATGAGCAAAAAAGGGATGAGTTGAGATAAGATGAGAGCATGAATTCAGTTTCATTATAAAATGCACAAATTTCTGGGCAGGAGTTGCACTCGTAATGCAGCGAGGGCAGCCACTTGGCCGAACAGCTTGCCTCGGGCACACACAGAATCTTTTGCACAAAAACACCAAAACGACAGAGAGCCAACAATTAAGTCTCAAACGTTGAGTTGACATTGAGCAGGCGGTTTTCAAAATGCGACTACTAAAAATAAAGAACCTGTTGCTGTCGTCGCTTGCAGTTGTCGTGCCGTTGATGCCTTGCCGCATATTATGCAGCCGTGTCCACCTTCGTCTCTGCCCCCACCTCTATGTCTGTCTGGCTTTCTGTCAGTCCATCTGCCTGTCTGTCTCTCTGTCTGCCTGTTTGTTTGTTTGTTTGCTTGTGCCGCTAGTTTGGCATTTGCTTTACTTCGGCTGACATCGCGGTTGCGGTGCCAGAGCAATCGTCATGACACTAAGGACGTGCTCGAGACAACATGTGCAGGGATGAGGTAGGCTGGAGCAGACATGCAACAATTTCTGCACAGAGAGCCCAATGAAACGTGACTGGAGTGTGGTTTTTGTCAAGTATCCTAATTTGGCCAACTCGCGAACGTCCTTGAGGCGAGGACAACAACTGCCTTCTCCTCGTCTTCACGAAGACAGCGGCGGAACGGAGCCCTATTAGATTAGCCCACTTCAAGCGGCCCCCCCTACCCCGCACCGCAGCAGAGCTCGGCCGCCATTATCGAAAGTTCAGCTGCAGCCGGCCCCAAGAGCTTGCGAGTGGTGCCTGCACCCTTCCAAGTGAACATTTAATGACCCACTGCGTCATGGTTCCTGTCCTAGCGAGTGTCCTTCGCTCGGGCCGAAAGTTATGGCGTTAGCATGCGCTGTGACATTCCCCAGCCCCAGTCGCTTCACCAGACGCTCCATACACGCACACGCACATGCACACGCACATCCATGCTGAGGCAGGAGCATGCACACAGCCACATACATATGCACATACACAAGTGCGTTGGAGCAAGTGCGGCTGGAGCTGGAAGCTGCATTCCTGCATTGGAGCGGAATAGCTATTTTTAGACCTTGTGCAGTCAATGGGCTTGCACTAGTATGAATGTACATACACATACACATAAATACACAATGTATACACAGATATAACGCCTGCGGAAGCTATCGCCAATATGTTAGTTTTTTACAACTAGTACCGATGCATCGGGCACGTGCATCAAAATGTGCATCCTCAGGTGTCCAACTTTGAGTTGGATCTCTGGGGTTTGGGATCTTCTTCTGTTCTGGCCGTGATCAGCAGAGCTTTTGCTTGCACTTTACTGTACGCGGAGATGCCACGAATTCCTCAAAGCTCGCAAGCATTTCTTATGGGCCGGTCCATGGAGCAAACACTGAGGAACTGAACGGCAACGTCAGAGGCAAAGCAGCAAAAATTCAGGGAGCGCCGCAGCAAACAGCGAGGCGGGCAAGGCACAAAATGCATTCACGGCAGCAGCAACTGCATTGCCAAACACAAATTCATACACACAGCCGCAATCCCACAGATAAACACACACCACATACAAACATACAAACATACACACACATACACACCCATACGTTCACAGAAGCACAGACAGTTTGGGGTTTGGGTTTTGGTATGCCTGGATCCAGCGAATAAATGCCTTCTCGAGATGCAGTTTGACCGTTGGCCGCCGCTTCAAAAGACCTGTTTTTATGTTTTTGGGCATTTATTCTGGATCTTTTTTTGCTGATTTCTGTTTGTATTGAGTTGCATCGTTCTCAGCGCCGATCGGTGCTGCTGATGCACTTGAGCAACACAGAAACAAGTGCATAATTTCAACCTCAGGACCAGAGCTGCTTAAAAAAAGCATCGAGCGTGGTGCTAAGTTTCACTGCGGTTCCAGAACCTCCCTTGAAAAGTATTCCAGGATAGAAAACGCAGCGACTTTAGTTACACTTGCATTTTGCATACTCGTATTAGATCGGCACGCTCGCAAATCGCACTCTCAGCTCCGTCCTGCTCTGCCCAGTGGAGTCCGCATGCAGTCCGAGTCGAAGTTGAAGGTGGAGGTGGAGTCGGAGTAGTGCATGTATGCACTGAAGCACGTGCTATTCTCGTAGTCAGAAAACTGATCTCCAGATAGGATCAGAGCACAGAATGCCCTTTTGGGCACAACGAGGAAGTTGAATACATTTCGAAAGCTGCTGAGGATGCAATAAGTTCCCCGTTAAGCCTTTGGGCCTACTCCTCTGCCCATTCATGCTTCTGCCAGCCAGGCCAATTGCGCAATAGCTGGGAACTGGCGACTGGAACCTGGTAACTGAGGGCAGACCGACGCTCTAGATCAAGCTCCAGCTCTTTTTAGCTGTTCCGCGGACCGATGAATGTCACATTATTAAACGAGAACGTGATGTTGTGTGTGCGTGTGTACCCTGCCACAATTTTGTGTGGGCTCAAACCAGAAAAGGGTCAACATATTTGGTTTCATAAATAACAAACAGCCCGACAAACCGATACCGTTCCAGACCCTCTGGACGGGGAGCCTCTAAGCTGTTTGTCATCTGCCTGGGCTGACCCAGGAACAACAGGAAATTCCTTTCGACAAAGTCAGCAGTTTAGACGCGAGATTAATGACTTCTGGACAGCGCCCCCACTCACGCGTCCGCTCGCCGACTGCCCCTCACCTCACTCCGTCATTTGCATATGACAACAAGAACACCAACACCAACGGCAGCAGCAGCGGCAGCGGCAGCAAAAGCAGAGCCAGAAGCTGGTCGTTTGTTATGCAAGCAGTAAATTTTCAATAAATATACATAGGGTAGGATAGGCGCACAAGCAAGCCAAACAAAAACCAAAATTGAATTGACGGACCGCCGCAGAATCCATCCCATACCATACCAGAATGGCCTTAGCCATCGACAACGCACCTAATCAGATACCCGGGACGGAGAGACAGTGGTCTGTTGAGAGCGCTTTGAAGCGTAAGTATCTTTTTCTTCCAGAGCTCGATCATCAGCGCGCCGCTGGAAGGTTCTGCTCTTATTATTTGTTGGTCTTTTCTATCTAAGGTACTTCTAAGGAAGTAAACAGGAAATCTGCAGGATTGCAGAGCTGGAAGAGGGCGTGACATTGATGTTTGCTTTTCTGTGATGCCATTGGTTTTTCCTCTTATTATACCCAGTACTCGAAGAGTAAATAGGGTATATTGAATAACGGTTGTATGTAACGCACAGAAGGAAACGTTTCCGACCCCATAAAGTACATATATTCTGGATCAACATCAATAGCCGAGTCGGTAATTCCATGTCTGTCTGTCCGTCTGTCCGTCCTGATGAGCGCCTAGTACTCAGATACTATAAGAGCTAGAGCCACCACCCCCTTCCGCCCCCGCAAGAGGGCGGGCCATTCCGTAGGCAATCTATCAGATCACCAAATTGTGATCCGATTGTTGTCCCCTTTTCTTGTTTTTTTCACATTCTCTCATTCGCACTCTGCTTCGCGCATTTTGTAGCCGCTGCCTCTGCCTCTGCCGTGAGTCTGCAGTGTGTGGGTCTAGGGAAGGGGGGCCAGCTAACGGAGCGTGTTGGCGTGAGAAGTGTTGTAGATGTATGTAGATGACAGATGAAGAAAAAATAAACCGGTTACAAATAACCGCTAAGGTACAGATGTACTACTGTGTGCCGGGTATAAAAGTTGTGACGCTTAAGAAGCGTCTCACACGTCCCTTCTCGTTATTTTTGTTTTCGCCTTCTAACTCTGTCTCCCAGAGGGGTCAGCAGAGAATGAAAGAGAGAGGGGGGGTTGCAGATACAGCAAACCGCACAGCTCAGGCACAGGCAGAGGCATGAGACCGTAGGACCGTCTCGCCGCGCAAATAAAAATAAACATCGGCTCACATGAAATCCGAGATATTATTGAGTCTGTAGATCGCGCTCTTTGTTGACAACTATGCAAGCATTTTGTTATTGTCTGAGATGTGCAATTATCGTAGAACAGATTTTTTTTTCAATGGAATGGGAATGGTAGCAATAAGTGGGAATAAAAATGGCGACCTACTCCGCCCACGCATTAGTGTCAATAATGAAAATTGCATGCCCCGAGGGCGAACTTGACTTCCCACATATATGTACATAGGTATGTATGTATGTATGTACGTAGTATGTACACACATACATTTGTACATACATACATCTCTTATCTCACCTTTTAAGCGTTTATTTAGAGATGATTAGCCCCGCACTGTGGCGGCTGCGGAGCAGTGAGAATTGCCGATGGGTTCTGTCTAGTAGTGGGATCCTCCCTTTACCCCTTACATCTTGTTTTATAGGCTCATTTGCGCCTGGCTTCAGCACTCGTATCAAATGCAACTTAAAAAATGATAACAGAACCGAGCGAAACGCACTTGTATTCCGTAGCCACAACACAAGTCTCATTAAAGTGGGTGATGGAAATTGGAAGTCAGCAAGCTCGACAACGTTTTGTGTTTGCTTCCGCTAGTTGATCGCTCTTTTCGCTAAGCTTTCCGAAGCCACTGATTCTTGAAAGTTTTCGCGTTCGCCTTTTTTTCTCAGCAAAGAACTTTTCAGATTTGAAACACACACACACTCCTCTATTTATTTAAGCCAGGACTTGACCACGCAGAGAATATTGTCTGTACGGATTGCCTTAGCTCTCCGGCTTCCGACACTATTTCTATTCTGTCCTTTTCCGCGGCCTTTAAAAAAGATTTTACAATTTTTCATGGACTCGCGAACACTTGAAGCTAAGCGATGGGGGATGTAGATACAAACTCATCTACAAAACCTATAATTGCCAATTGATCAGTAACTTCACGAACATGAGCATAAGTTTCGTTTGTACTGCTTTTTAACCCGCCACACACTCTCCTCCCTGGGTTCGCCCTACCATACACCATACAAAAGCATAAACATTCTCAGGAATTTTGTACCAAAAATTACTTTTATGGATTTCATACAAATATTGACTTAACACTTTGCGCTTTCAATTGTTTAATTTATTAAATGGCTTTACAGAGTTTTCTTGGTTCTGTTTTTTGGTTTTACTTTTACTTGGCGCCACTTGTGGCACTGGCAAAAACTTAATTTTTCGCTGCACTTGTTTTAACTTAAATTGAGTCGTCGGATGATTATAAAAAATAGCAGCTCCAGTGACAAATATAATTATTTATCAGTGCATTTCAACACAGAACTCGAATCTAAAGTCGCCCGTGAAAGTCACCGACTTCTATCCGCGCGCTGGCTTTTCCGCGACGAATTTTCCTTGCGCGCACCGGTAACGACGAATGACGACCCTGCTCGACGTTTCAAATTGAATTATTTGCCAAGCCAGAGACTTATATTATTTATTTTATTTGCTGCGACCGTTGTCTTTAAATTGATTTATTTTTTGCAACCATTTTCGAGATTATTGTGGGAAAAGAAACTTCTGCCCGACACTACGTTGTTTCCTTGTCGATTGTCGGTTTAAAATTGTACCAACATTTATTTGGGATTTCATCAAATACGATACGGTAAACTCGACGACGATTTGAAATTGAATCACGCGCACGACGCTGCTTCGGTTTTATCAGGTTTCCCTTCACCATACAAACATATTCCCTTAACATAGGGAAGGAACGGAAACAGAGGATGGAAAATAAGGTGTCGACAACGGGTAAATACGTTACAACATTTTCAGGCTTGCAAGGTAAATTACACCCTGCAATTTTCACCCCCCATGATGGATTTCGAAAATTTTTGTATGAAACTTCCATAGGAAATATTTGTATGAAATCCATCACGTCATGTTATATGAATACCTAAACAGGTGCTAAAGAGGTGGGATCAATCAAAAAATGTCGTCCCTTTTACCTGCTTGCCATACCTTGCGGTTACATGCCAAAGAGAGGATTTTTCAGCAAAGAGAGGATTAGGTCAGCAGAGAGAGCAAGAAACTCTCTCCTCTCTCTCCTCATTTTTGCGTCACAAATTCAAATTTTGTACCAAAAATTATTTTGGTACATTACTTTCATACAAATATCGATATCGATATTCTTATCGATATTTAAAACGAACCTCACCTTATCTTCGAAAAAATAGGGCATGATGTAATTTTTCGAAAATTTTCGACGTTTTTCGTAAAAAGTATTAAAAGTATTTATTTATTAAGTATTTCAAAGTACAGGACGGGAATGGAATGTGAATAGGAAGAAACAACTACCTTAAGTTAAATGCTTATGTTTATTAGGTGCTAGAAAGTTAGAAGTTAGAAAGCTGAAACTTTGAATGGAGGCCAACGTGTTTGACAATATGTCAGGTTGACTTCTATTAATTATCCGGAATACCTCCAGAATATTTATACGAAGGGACTGTCCGAACACCTCCAGCCTTCCACTATTTATGTGCGTCAGGCTGAATGGGATTGCTTCCAGGGCCAACTTGCGTCGTACTACATCCTGGATTTGTGTCATCTCTTGAACGTTGACTGTGCGCACATTGGCCGGTGGATTTATTTCCTCAATGGGTGGGAACTCCTGCTCCCAATTCTCCCCCTACGTGAGGGTATATAAGCCCGTGATGGCTGTATCCCAATGGCGATTTTGATGCCACATTCTAAGCCGCAAATGTTGGAGGTCGTACAGGACGGGATACCTCTGCGAGGCGTACATCATTGCCTGCTCGTTTGCAAAGCAGCCATCGGCGACAACGGCAATCAAGTTTTTATCCAGGTTACGGATCTCCAGCATATGGAGCGCCTTCGTCAGAGCGCCAAGGATCTGTTTGCCTTCCATCTGCTGGACAGGGTACGGTAGTGGGTGCCATCTATATGGCATAAAGCTATCGCCTAACGCCTTCCACACGTTGTGCTGATCCGCTCTGCCAATTTTAGGGAAGTGGTACTCGTCCATGACCAAGAAAAAAAATTCTGGTCCGTTATTTATACAAGAAAATATAGGTAGAAACTCGATTCAGTTTGGAAATTATACTAGAACACTTGTAAAACTGACCCGTAATATACTTAGTAGTTTGTGGTCGACGTATCGGGGTTTTTAGGTAAATTAGTTACATAATTTTCTGTGCCATTCAATAGGCAGGCTAAACTCAGGTGGTTATGCGCATATATTCTGGTATAACCGAACATGCAATTAAAATTAGTTACGTGGCGTAGCCCAATAAAAATGCAGGTGTGAAAACCCAGCTACCTATCTATCTATTGATCCCACCGATGCCTTGAAGATCTTAAGATTTACTTCTTATTACATTCCATTCCCGCCATGTACTTTGAAATTCTAAATCGAAAATAAATACTTTTAATACTTTCTCCGACTTTTCACTAAATTTTTCGAAAAATTACTTCATGCCCTATTTTTTTCGAAGAAAAGGTGAGGCAACAACGAGAGGAATAGGTCAGCAAAGAGAGCAGAAAGAGCCTGAAGAGCACTGAAAAGTCGAAAACTTAAACATTTAACTTTTTATGGGGATGGGGAATTTACTGTTTCTCTCCTGCCAGATCAGCTCTTCTACTCATTTTTGGGTTGCAAATATGAGCAAACACCTACTCCATATATATACCAAAATAAACCTTTTACTTTTCAAAATATACAGAAAAGTAAAATAAAAAGTATTTGAATTGTTAAACCACTTGAGCCGCGAAAAATCTTTGCAAATTCATGGTCATAAAGGTAAACAAAATTGTAATTAAGTTCACGTACTCGTGTGTGCGAGAGAGCCAAATAGAAAAAGAGATCAAGTCCCAGAGCTGCACACTGATCAAAACCGCAAATCTAGTAATATAAAGTGCATTACTTCTAAAACAATAAGCTGTATTTTTGCTGTTTAATGCTAATATTTTGTATAATTTTTTACGATTTTTATACTTGGCACTCGATGAGTGCCCCCGATGAGACCCCATAAAGTACATATGTATGTAGTACATACATATGTATACTTAGTCTAAGTCTGTCTATATACCCGTCTTGTTTGACTATAAGAGTCACCATAATTTGTGTGAAGACTCACGTTATAACACACTGAATAAAGTTTGTTTCCAAATTGCTCCAAAATCTCTCATATCCACACTTTTAAAGATACGAGAAAACAATTCAGTAGAGAATGGCCATATGTATCTATCTGATCCTCGAATTAAGATTCGGACGATCGCTCGTTACTCACATTGCTCCGACCACAAATACAAAATACCCTATTTACTCTCTAAGTGCCGGATGTAATGAACAGAGACTTGCAGTGCGGGCAGCGCGAGGGCCCTCTGGATGAAAATCTGGGAGACGACGTTCGTCTACGTCCATAGACTGTAGGAACGAGAATGTTTCAGTCATTTCTGTGGCTCACAGAGCGAGGACAGTTGGCACATGGGGACCGAACACACAAATATTGAAAATTGTTGCGATGAAAATCTCTCCAGAAGAGAGAAAATTTCACAAAGAAAAATGCCTTCACTACAAGGATGAAAGGTTCAAAAGGTGACTCACATATTTACAAAGTACTCCTATATGTTCAACATAAATATGTTCTTATGTACATATATTATGTCCAAGAAGAGACTGGATGTCGGCGTTCATTAGATTTCGTGAAATCAAGCAGCTTCTTACGCGTCGCAACTTTTATACCCGGCACTCAGTAGTACATCTGTACCTTAGCGGTTATTTGTCAAATTTTGAAATTTGACATACAGAAGTCTGGATGCAAAATTTAGTGGCTCTAGCTATTATGGTATCTGAGATCCAGGCGCTCGTAAGAACGGACGGACGGACGGACGGACAGACATGGCTCAATCGACTCGGCTATTGATGCTGATCAAGAATATATATACTTTATGGGTTCGGAAAAGGTTCCCTTTGTGCGTTACATACAACCGTTATTCCCCACAAATACAATATACCCTATTTACTCTTCGAGTACCGGGTATAAAAATATGGCCATCTCTGGCCTTAACTGTCTATTGTGTGGAGGAGAAAAGTGGCTTGCAGCGCGAAAAACGATTTCTTTATGGTGCAAACAGCTTCATAATTTAGATCTATTTGCCAGATACCTACAGTAACAAACTGCAGGTAGCTGCCAAGATGCACCTCAACTCTTTGGAGTGAGTATAAAGACATTGAATGACTTGGATGTCATTACCGCGTGGGGCTTTTTATTAGGAAATGGCGTGCCGACGTGTATTAAGCCAGCTGTTGATGGTAGCCAGGCAGCGGACCTTGCTCTGGCATGTGAATGAATGGAATCACATTCACATAATGTACATATGTAGTATAAAGTTCCACAAACTGAAGTTACATTGCATTGCATTGAAGTATTGAAATGGTATGTTTGATTTTGAATATCGTTTGAATATCAATAAATTAATACTGTTGTTCATTGCATTGATGAGTGGGCGAGATTACGCTTCACAAAATAGTTAGTTCCGGCAAAAGGCAGTTGAGGGTGGGAAACGAGGGACAGTCAGCTGTATTGGGGCCGGCTCAAGCTCAGGTGACGGTAATTTGCGGTGCCTCAAGGATATTTGATGACAAAAAGAAATTGCTTTGTGCTAATCTGTCTGACTGCTGGCCAGTCTAGACTAAGAGTCTCTATAATTTGTGCTCGTATGCCGTTCGCTTAGGCCTTGTTGGCTGTCGGCACTTTACATCAAAGTAAAAGTCATTCCGATTGGCTAGACAGCGCCTCATAATCCTCTCCTCTTTGGTTGTCCTCCAGTAATGCTTGAGTGTTTATCTTCAATCCCCAACTACACTCGCATAAGACACAGGCTTATAAATGTTGTGGTTTGGGTGTGGTTGGACGAATGTAATTTAATGTAAACAAAAATTTAAACACATTTCCATGTAATTTATACTTAAAGATATCTGAGCTACAATGGGACTAGATTCTTTTTAAATTTGACGTTACACCCTATTCAATTAGGCAATAGTTTACTTTTGCGGTATTTTTTTCAAGGTTAATATTTTACTTTTACTGCTATTTATCTTTCGCGTTATACCTTTTTTGCCATACCTACAATTTTTTTCGCTTAAAAAATTGAATTTATAGTGGCCCCCAAAGAAGGCATTTTTATACCCTGTACTCGAAGAGTAAATAGGTTATATTGTATTTTTGGGGACCTGTTTCCGAGCCCCAACCAAGATTTAACGCGATGGGACGTGTGAGAGGTTTCTTACGCGTCACAACTTTTATACCCGGTACTCAGTACTACATCTTGCAGAGGCACGGCAGAGGCGCGGCAGAGGCAGAGGCCGCACACTGCAGAAGCAGAGTGTGAGTGAGAGAATGAGCAAAATAAACATATATAAGCTTCAGGACGGGATGGATTTAGCCACTGCAAATACATTTTTCATTCGGAATG